TTTGACTAATTTTTACTGGAGAGTTAGTGGTTGTTTCAAAGCTAGATTAGTCACTTTGTTCATAATTACAATCTCTTGAAATCTGCTTCAGCGTTTTGAATTGGCTTCAGGCCTAATGGTCAGAAAATGGTTTCATCTCAATCTTAAGACTAAACTTGATTAGTAGCTCTGTAGATTTCATATTATCCTGAAAGATGAAAAAAAGATGGAGTGCTGTACAGAGAAACCTGTGGCATCATAAGCTGCATCTCCGTGGAAAAAGGTGCAAATGAAGCCAGCTAATGTTCCTAAAGATGAACAACCACAGACACACAGGTTATTTCTGTGTTACCATTTATGCAACCCTAGATAGCATTATATTGGATAATGGGGTATTTAGCACTTGCATGTGAATTTAAAGCATGATCTATTTAATGAAGTAAGATGAGATGGACAATAAATGTTTGAATAGACTTTTTATAAAAACTCATTTTTTTCTGATTAGTGTTTTGGAGATGTGTTACAGATTGCTTAAAAAAGTGTCTTAACCATGGAACACTGCACAAGGAACACAAGCATGCGTCAGCTTGCATGTGACACGCTTTAGCACGCTTGGAGGTATAAAGAAGTTCTGGCATTGTGGAGAGGCAACGTGTTATGTACATTGTGTGGGAGGATACACCATGCAGATTTGATTGCATCATCCTTCTCTCTTTTTTTCTTTTATTTTCTTTATTTTTTTTGTTTCAGATGGTAAAACAAAGACTGTAGTGAAACCCGTTTTCTCCCAGGAAGAGGTGGGAGGGAATTTTATATGAGCGAGAAACTTTGCCTCAAGTTGAAATCTGGGGCCTGGACTAATGAACTACCTGTAATTCACATTGTACTAAATATTGCTGAAACTAGGCATGTACTAATCATGAACCATGCCAAACTATGCATACTTACTATGCTTTCTCTGTAGCAGTAATTAATTTGTGTTAGCAACTTTGATTAATCTTTCTAATCTAAAAGTAAAGCGCTTTTCAGACATGAAAGGCTCTCTAACTGCTTGGGGTTGTTATTGCAGCCCTGTGAAGGGCGTTTCAATCCAGTGGGGGGCAGGAGGGGGACAAAACTTAAAACAATCAAAGTGTAGCTGATATTTATGAACTAAGAAAAGCAATTAACAGTTAAAGCATTCTGTTTGCCTCAGAATTCCTTGTCTAAATGACAGGCTTCTGTACACAGTACATTCCTCCTGAAAGAAAAGAGAATTGTCATTAATTTAGTAAGAGGGCTTCTCTGGGGGCTGTTCCAGAAAGATGAGGGTTATATACCAAACAGGGAGACTGAGATTCCATCCTATAGAGGGCAATGCTATGTATTTAATGTTGCAGTGCAAACTTACCCATAAATTCATTTAAGTCTTAACCTGGAGGGAAGCATTGTTCTAGGCATGACTGTTCAACTACAGTATTGAGTCAGTCCTCATTGCTAGTCCAGAAAGGGTGTCAGCTGTGTTGCCTGTGAGTGATTTGGACATGTCTGCTTTTCAGGAAATATATATGCTAAGCTCATCAACTCAGACTATGTTGACAAACAGAGAGCTATCAGATGCTAACATACAAACTAATTCTGGCATCACTGGAGATTAAAGTTTCCATACTTCATTGCCAACCTCCTGGCCCAAGCCAGGCTCTTCACCCAAAAGCAATCCAAAGCTGCTGAAAGGACTTACATCATCCAGTGGTGACTGTGATTTACCTAGACTTCATAAGCTATCAGATCTACAAGAAGTCAAATTTCTGAGGCAAGTAGATGTGTCTCTAACAAACCCATTACAAATCTTAGAGGGTTTTTAAGTCAACATTGTGTTGCTCGTTTTCTCCCTCAGGCATTCTAATATTAGGGGTTTTTTTCTTGTTTCCCCTGTCACAACTGTTTCCTGGCAAGGAATACTGCTTCATGTAATTAATGATAGGCAGAATGACATTACAATAATTTTGAAATGGATAATCTAGGGATTACTAATGAACTTCAATTTGATTTAGATAATTTTTTAAAAAAATACTGCTATTACCTCAAAGTCTGGGATCAATTCTGTTTTCGCAAGATAGAGAAATATTTTTAAAACACATAACTTATTTGAAAATGTAAACGTGTTTCCTAGAACTTATAATTTTTTTATTATGCTGATTCAAAAAGGAAATTATTTGTGATAGTTTATTTTCTTACAGTTGTGGTTTATGTCCAAATATTTTATCATCATAAAGCTACCCTTTTCATAGCAGTCAAAATAGACAATATATATTGACGTTGAAACAAGCTTTGTAGAAGACATTTTTTTAAATCAGGCATGGGACTTTACATTTATTAGAAGGTGTTCACAAAAATAAGGGTAACATCATGCATATTCTTTGCAACTAAACCCAGTTATGGTTACAGTTTGGAAATAAATAGACATATGGAGATACAGTAGTACATACACACTCTATTTATGATATTAAGTTAGTGTACTGATAACTCTCAGCAATACATCAAAAGTCTACAACCAGCTGATGGAAAGATTGTTTAAGGAGGAAGAAACGGCTTCAATTTCTCACATTATTTATGTGGCTTGACAAGAATGTCAGTGTGAATTGCCTCCTGAACTTGGGAGGCAAGAACAAGTCAAGACTATGCTTTAGCAGTACAAAACATTTACACACAAAATACACATGCATTGCAATGCACTGGAAATGGGTAAAGCAAGGAGAAACCCATTACTCAATGCTTTATTAACACAATTCTACAAAGGAGTCTGAAATAGGATTATATAGTTCAGTCACAGTAAGGCCACAATATTACAATGGATAAGGACCTTAGAATTCACCATTCTGTGTTAGTAATAGAACCCTTCCTTCTTTATAGATTTTTATATGTGTTCCTGAATGGTATCTCATCAAAGTCCTCCTTTTTTTTTTTTTTGTAAGTTTAACATATTGCTTAATACAACAGTTAGCACAGTAGAGAAGGGTACTGTCACAGGGAAAACAAAACCTATATAACATTCACGTGGTTTTTAGGCTATATGCTAGATGCATTTAGATGAAGCTGGCTAATCAGAAAAAAGACTAGCAAAGGATTTCCTCAAGTTTCGAATAGTTTCAGCTTTTCCTTCATCTTCATTCAAACGACTTGCTGCAAGACAAAAATGCAACACATTTTGTATGGTCATATTGTCTACCAGCTTCCATCCACATACAACTTGTATACATTATGAGAAAAGGAAAAATGTCCAAGAGACATAGATGGTTTCATGTGAACAAAATGGACATTCAACACAAGCGATATAGTTAGATGTAGCACACAGAGCTGCTGCACTACAGCACATTCCTCCTGTACTTTGATTTGAGAACACACTGCTTTTTACAGATCTGAAACATGGTATTCCAGTAAACTGGATGATGTAAATTAGGACTGGAGGAAAAAGTGGGCCTGTCTGCTAAATCCAAATCACCACCCAACACAGGAGGATTAACAACTGTGTTTGTTAAGGCTGCAAACAGTTACGCACAAAAAATAATTAGGTATAACAGCATGAGTTTGAAGAGTGAATCCTAAAGTTGTAATGTGCTCTCCCTCTCTCTCTATATAGGACATTTGATCCTTAATGGAGGATTAATGATGCTTTTTATCTTTAAAAAAAAATCCCCAAATTAAATATATAAATATATATATATAAAAAAAATACTATTCTCTTTATAGTGCCACCATGTAACTATGGCGTAAGTCTCTGTAAGCATAAATAAAATAACATACCAGAAGGAAAATGTTGGAAGTTTAAAAACTTTTAACTCATGACTTGTCAGATAAAATAATATTTTAAAAGTAGGCTTGAATTTAAACAGAAAACATTAATGAGTTATAATCTTTTTATGAAGATACGCATGCATTAGTAAAGCTCATTAACCGATTTCATTTTTATCTCAGTACAATAATAGGATTTTGGTTTTGGCTATAGCAGAACTGAAACACTTTTCTTATTCAGGTTGTCTTATACTCTTCATGGTTTGCAGCTTCTCTCTACCTCTAAACTAATAATGTACAGCAAACACTGCTACAGGCATTTTAGGTTTTTCATAAATTATAGTTGTGTTAATGAGAATAGACTGATAAATTTTTGTTTGTACTCACTGAAAGAGGGAGGGTGGGAAGCAGCACTTGACTTGATTAGTAACACAATAAGTAGCCTAATTAAATATTTATTCACAGATTAATAACAAGTACATACAGGTTAGGCAACAGCATGTGGGTGAATACAAAGCATACACATGCAAATAGATCCTACAGGCAGGAGATCTTAGTCTTGGTGTGCACTGAGAACTGCTTCTTGAAAGTTAGAAAAACTGCTCTTATTACAGCTGGCATCTTAAAAATTTTATTTTCTCCTTTTTAAAAAAAAATTTTCTTTTAGAGACTATTCTCTTCCATTTTTTAGAAGAGAAAAATGAATCTAGGTTTGAAGAAGGAACTAAAGGAAAGGGAGAAAGTTGGGAAATGGTTATGTGATACAGTTCTTCTGTACCTGCTCTTAACTGTTCTTACATGTCAGAAGTTCACAAGCTAAGTTTCACACTATAAACTAGTTGCCATCTTGTTTAAGAAAATCGACCTCCCTATTCTCTATGTATATTTAAAGTGATTTTATGATTATAAACCAGACAAATAAGGAAAAGCACTGTCCGAGGAAGGCAAGGAGAATGTTGTCATCTTAGCATATTGTCACCCAACACATCTTTTCCACTGAACTGTGCTTGGGTGAGGGTATTAGCACGAGTGGGTGGAAAAAGGGGATCTGCATTACTTGGATAAAACAAAGACACCATGCCAGTCTTTGTACTTACAGCAGAATGTGCCTGTGACTCTACCGGCAATAGCGTATGTCAGGACCGCGCTGTTGAAAAGCAGCAAATCATTGTCAGTGCTGTCCCTGTGTTTTCTGTTCACTGGCTTTAAGCTGTGAGAGGAGACACAGCTACAGATGCTTTCCATAGGCTTTACTGTAGGACGCAGCTGGCTAGGTAGAGCACCAACAGCAAGCTGTGCGTTAAGGAATCTCCATCTCTACTGGGATAACTATGGGCAGTTTTCTGTGCAAGTCCTGCAGTCTTCTCTGGAAAGGGCCCGTGTGACCACTCCTGCTGCTCCATCAGCAACAGTGTATACTCAAGAGCGAAGTGCGACCGCAAAGGCACGCAGTTCAGCAGCCACTGCCTAGCATGTGCATTGGGATTGCTTCTGAGATAGGCCCTTTGAAACTGGAATCTGTTCTCTGAGTGACTGTGAGGTTAAAAGTTTAAATAGATAAGACTTCCTCTTTCCCGTGCAGGCTTACAGCACACCCAGATCATGAGTCAGTGACATAAAAAGGAGAAAACAAATACAAGAAAAATGATGAATTTTCAGACCCAGCTGGGGCAGAAATTGCACAAAGTGATGAAAGAAATTTTGCGTAGTGCTTAGGCTATAACTAATGATACTGTCTTACTAATCATAAACACAGAATAAGCTTTTTGCAATGTTTTAACCTCATTTTAGACTTGGAAACATATTTTTTTTCCTGAATATTAGCCCAACTCCCAAACTGCAGTTATGGCAACAAAAACCTGTGTTACGAGGAGAAAAGCAAATGGATAAAAGCAAGCCTTACTTAAGCTGTGGATGAGACTGAGGCTTCTGTTGTGGAGCGGGCTGCGGAGTGGGCTGTGGAGCGGGCTGCAGAGCAGGCTGGGGAGCAGGCTGTGGCGGTGGCTGCGGCTCTGCTTCCTTTGATAACCTGGTGCTGGAAGGACCTTGAGCCTGGGGACGTGGCTGCTGAGTTGTAGGTCCAGGTGGACGCTGTGGCTGGGAAGTCGAGGGCTTTGCTGACTGCCCAGGGGGGTACATGCGCTGTGGCTGCAATGGCTCCTGGCTTTGTGATTGCATTCCTTGGGGTTGCACTGGGCCCCCTAGGTTCAGTACAAGAAAAACTTCATAATGTTATAGTATCAAAGAATTCTTACTAGATTTCATATCCAACACTTCAAAATAATCCTCGAATGTGATTAACTCTACTTTTGAGGCAAATTTCTATCAAAACAGACCGCAGTTTCATGTAGTCAATACTACTAATCACAGCTGGTACATTAGTAACGTGCTTGGAGCCCCTATGATTCATCCTTAAAATTGCTAAGAAGTATGAAATTTATCCCAGCAGTAGCGGTCTTGACTTCAAATCAAATCAATGGAGTTGCACCCAGTAAAATTTTGGCCCAGCTCAAGGATAGGCTGCAAGATAACCAAATACACCAGCAATACCTATTTCAGCAATACGGCTACTATTTTATGTGTAGTTACTGCAGTTTTGTTCCTCCAAAGTTTAAGAATTATTTCTATAATATTCCTCTTAGAGTCACTCTTATAGCAGTAAAACAAATTTATATGGAAATTTTCCAGCTAATTTAAAGTCTTTCGATAACTTATTTAGTGAAATATGTCAAGAACATTACAAAAAAACCCAAGACAGTCATTACTAATTCTTTACCAAGGAGATCTTTCCACTGAGAAGGAAGTATACTGGCAAAATACTGTATCATGTGTGAAACTACAATGCGTAGTAGAGACTTAAGTTGTGAAATCCATGGCTGAAAGTTGCTACATCATCATACAGGGGTTTTTTTCTGCTTTCTAACTGAAATTGTGCTGTGTCAGATATCAGTGGGCATGCTGCTTTTATATCAGATGCCCGAATGTGGTTTTCTGGGCTGACAGTTGTTATAACCGAATCTTTACTCTTGCATGTGACAAGGCACACAAGACATCTGAGTTAAGGGAAGAAAGGAGAGGATGAAATGCTGAGCGATTTGTTTGTATAATGTTTCAGTCAGGGCAAGAGCTTTGCTGAACAGTAAATATTATAGAAGAAAACTGACCTAGACATTCTGAACATTTGGGAATTTTTAGTCTTACACAGCTATTTAGTGCAAGTAGAAGACAATCTATTCCGGTCTCTAAAAGAAAACCTTCGTATCTGGAAGTACTGTTGCAATACAGGATTATTTTTTAAAATTGCTATTATTGTTAGCTTTCTACTGACTAGATGAGATGTGTCTGAGAGCAGCATGTACTAATGCTTCAGTAAGTTTTAATACAGTTGTAGCAGTGTGTTGTGGTGCAGAAAGATAAATAGCATGTACTGTATGTTAAGGAATGTGCCTTCATTGTTTATTAATTTGAACCTCTTTTGTAGGAAATATTTGAAGGTGATAACATGGTCTTGCAACATCTTAATAAGGATAATTTTCTTATTAGTCTCCTTTCACTCAATACTGCAAAACAGAAAGGTTTCTTTCCCCCACCTGTACATACAGGCTTGAATGCCAGAAACTTTACACTGAAGACAGATATAACTTTCTTTTATTGCACATTAAGCTGTACAAGATATTTCACATAAAAGATATACTGCTGTCACACTTCCAGCATTTGCTTACTTTCTTGCAGCTGGGTTGTACAAAAGGCAACAATCATGAAAGAAACTTTTACCAAAAATAACTCAACAAAACTGAACATTAAGCCTACACTGTAAAACATCTGTTCCCTGTTACCCACAATATTGCACCTAAGCATGCTTACATGCAGAGAGACATTTTGGCTTGCTTCTTGTCTGCGGTGTGCAGTAATAGTGTGTGCCCTTGTAAATCCTTTACAGTAGTCAACAAGCTGAAATCCTATCTGAAACACCCATCTCTTCTTTGCACACACAACTCACAAATGTCGTGTGAAAAGCACTTGTGAATACTTGTACTACTACATGCAAAAAAAACCCCAACTACTTTAAATAAAATCAATCATCAGATTCATTTCTTCACCCCAGGGCAGTATGGTTTATTCACTTCTATGATGTCTGGAGGTAAGGATTTGTGAACCTGATTCTAAGTGGAATTTTCTTAATATAGAACAAAATAGCCAAGGCCATCATTGGAACGATCACTGACCCAGACAAATGCTGATCACTAAAGCAAAATATTCATGTCATTTACTGATAGGTAGTAAACAGTAGCAATTACCACAAACATTTAAATAGCTAATAATGCATACCTTAATTCTCATCTTACCAGCCAGCTTGTACAAATAAAAGAAACACTAAGAATGATGATTCTCACTGATAATTTTTTCCAGTGTTTGTAGGGAAAACAGAAGTAGAACATAAGGCTGTCTTCCCTTTAAACAAAATTGTTTGCACTAAACTAATGGCCACTACTCATCTTCATACATATTCAAGACCAAAATTATAGTTTTGTGGCTCACTTGCAACTAAGCTTAATGGTATTCTAGCAGTCTGTAGCTTGTGATTCTAGGCTAGATTCTCACAACAGATTATCTGCCTGCCTGTGTATTCTTTTGTAATATTACATTATAAATCGGTTATGCAAAAATCACAAATAATTTACCTACAGAAAATCTAGCAGTCTTTTTGCATGTTTGATTTCAAGCAACTATTATAAGCCCTGTTTATGTGGATAACACTGGGACTGAATTTTCTTTATAGCTATCTGGCTACTTAAAGGTTTAAAATAGTAGACCTGAGCTGGTAAAGAAAACCGCTGACATTTTTGTCTCGCATTCTAATCAAAGGGCAAGATCCCTAGCTGGTTAAAGGTACCTTGGTCTACCATCTCCCAACATCTCAGTATTTGAAAAAAAAAGAGCTCTGACAGGAAGTTTAACAGTCCTTGAGGTACTTCTCGCCAAATAACCTAGGATTTAACTCTTAGGTAAGTATATGATTTTTGAAAGTATTTGCATTAGTCTTCACTAAAAATCCCCATAGATTACTAATTCAAATGACAACAAAAGGTACTACTTAATGGAAATAGGATACATTAAATACTCACACTTCCACTGAGATATTGCACATAGGTGGCCCATTTACATAGCTTTGTACCTAATAATTTAATGCAGAATTACTAAAAATATGAATACCAGTATGTAAAATAGAAGATATTTCAAATATTCCTTGGGAAGAACTGTATCTTATGGAGTCACTGAAATATTAGACTTCCACTTGCGTATAAGTAAAACTCAAATGTTAACAAATGTTATAAAATTATAAGTAAAAAGCCTCACTAGCAAATTCTAATCTAGACTTTTAAAAATATATCTGTATCACCTATTAGTCATGCACACGCACAAAAAAATAAAGGCTATGAGTATAGTGTGCACACACTCACAGAGTAAGCAAAAGTATTTAGATTTGAACCTTGGTGGCATTTTGCTTAATGATATAGAATACTCAAAAAATACTGTCTAACCATCCATAATGTACAGTTGCACTGGGCTCTAAAGAGGCACATTCTTTGTACACTGTTGACAACAGCCCTGAAATCACAAATTTTACAGAGAAAGGTAGGTAAGCATTACACGCACAGACATGAACAAGTAAACAACCAGACGGTATAGTTGACACTGCATAGAAAAAACACAGTCCAGGTCAGCACTGAAACAATGCAAAAATTGAACAAAACTGGTATGTTTGCTTTTAAGATTGTGTGTTTGTTTCTTTTCTTTTTTTTTTTTTTTTTTTTTTCATTTTTGCTTTAACCCTTGCTTTTAGTCTCAATTATCTAAGTAGCCTGGACTTGTTTTGGTCCTACTGCAACGCCATTACAGTCGAGAATGTACTGTAAACAACCTTGAGGTGGTGGTCGCTGAGGTGGGATTTTGTTTGGCTCTGGCTCCTTTAGTGATCCACTCTGGAAAATACATTTGAAAACAGAAGAGAAAAAAAATTAGAGTAGCTTAGTTCCAATTTTTCACTAATTCATCTTTATTTTCATTAGAAATCTCCTTATTGGTCGGGGCTGAACATACGCATTTAATTTATTCCAGAAAACATTTTCTAATACAGTTGCTGTCTGATATGACATACGAATCCTGGACTAATCCAAAGCTGAGTTCTTAAAAAAAAAGCTTTTCCCTTTGCAGTGTGTGCTCGTGATGTAAGGAGTGCCTTCTCAAATCTTACCTCCATTTGTGTATGGTCTTTCTCCTTCCCTTCCTAGCACCTGGAACGACTTTTCTGTGTCTCGTTGCTTCTGCTCTCTTTTTTTAGGATAGACTGAATAGAAAATGGACTTCAACAAATACCTTTGTGTAATTTAAGAAAGAATTTATTTTTAATTACATTCACTTGTATCTGGAAGCACTAGCACAGCAGGATTTTTTGCTAGTGGTAGTTTCACTTTGATTCACTGACTGTAAATGGGAAGGGAGATGGAGTTCTCTAGGTTAGCTGTTTTGCTAAGCAAAATGAAAGAAGGAAGCAAAAACCACAGACAAATAATAAAAATAATTGAAATTACTTCATGCTACTCCATCTGATACGTTATTAGAAACACATGTAATACTTAACTTTTCAAAACAGAAGATTTATTTGGCAGTGTCCTTTTCAAACATATACTTGTCGAGGGGAAAAGATGGGGCTGAACCAAAACCCTGGAGCAGAAGACCCTCTGGGAACATTAGTATTTGAATCCAAACTTTGTCTTAGGCCCATCTCTAATATTTTGAAAAGTGAAATATGTTAAATCATTGGACATAATAGCTTGGGTTTCTTTTAAGGATCCAGAAATTAAATTGCCATCTGTCAAGAGGGAAAAATCCCAGAATATATTAAATAGTAAATGCAAAATTAATTAAATGTGTTTCTTGCATAGCTTACTGGTGTTTTTTTTTCTGGTAGATTTGTATTTGATCTTAGAACTACAGAAAAAAATCTTACTCATAGCAATGTGAAATCCTGCACAGCAATCTAGAAGTCACACTTTTTAAACATTACAAGACAACAACACTCAACCATATGCAGCTGGTGCAAATTGCTTTGCCTGCTTTACCTGCACAAATAAAAGGACACAGGATAGGTCCAAAACTCTATTATTCATCATTACCAGCCTTCAGAAGAGCAAATGAGGAGTAAAAATGATACTCACAAAACAAATGAGGCAACATCTGATCCTTATATTAACTGACCCAGTTACATAGGTCTCGGTAAGCATTGTTGTAAGGATGAGGAGATGCAGAGGAGGATTTCATAAGGAAAGACACAGCCAGCAGAAAATTTTGAAGTGCTTTTGTGTGAGTTAAAGTCTTCTGTTTTGTTTCTCTCCTTCCTCTAATTTTCTGAACCACATATAAAAGCTGACATTCTATCCTATGCGTGTTTCAGTAACATTAAGTATTTGCGGTATCCACGCTGTGTAATGCGTTGGAGCTCACAACAACGTGCATTTACATCAGTAACTCCTTGGGTACTGGGGAAATTAGCCAAGAGTGGAAACCTTAAAAAGTTGCCTTGGAGGAGCAAACTCCTTTCATATTCTAGTGCCATTGTTCTGATGCACCTGGCACTCTGTCTGCCTCCGGGCCATGTGGGTGCTATTACAGAGCACGCCTGCGTAGCCTTTGGTGTTGTAGTGTGACACGTGGAGGGAAGTACAAGAACTTGGGGCTTAGGGACCCCAAAGAGTTTCCTTCTGGAGGACAAACAGATCATCTGACTTCTGTTAGAAAGTACACACGATGTTTTATATGGGACGTTACTACAATCGCCATGCAATAGACTTCCTAGCCTTTCAAAGGGCCATACACCAATCTATAGGGTTCTCTGCAGCGGCAGAGGATGACTAAGGAGAATATGAGTGTTGCTATTTTCCTACTAAAACAAAAGTAAAGGATCATGTAGGTAAAACATCTTTTATTTAGAAACTGAAATCAGGCTGGCAATTTAAATTCACATCTACTTGAATGTTAAAACAACATCTGCAGGGCCTCTGTCTCCTCCATGCCTTGAGGCTGAAGCAAATCTGCCATTTGTTCTTGCACTGAAATGGTCTTGGGTTTTATCGCGCATGCCACCGAACTGACTTGACAACATCAGTACTTATGCAATCTGCATATCTCTCCATCTTACAAAGGAATTATTTTATCCTAAATTAAGCTTTCAAAAAACCTTATAGAAGCTTGCTACTCCTTACCTCAACTGTTCTGAACACTTAGAGCCTTTGTGCATTCTCTGGGGAAGATGTATTTCCCCCTCTCTAGTCACTGACTGCAGCTGTCCTGATTTTACCACCCACACATCCTTTTTTTCACCAGCTATCACCTGGTGCTTCCAGGAACCTCACCCACACTCCAGGCCAATCACATGGGTATATTACTTTTGCTAATTAGCCAACCCACCCAGGCTGACCCAAAAAGACTAATTAGCATTACATTCCTAAATGAGAAATCTTACTCATGGTTTTTCAATGGTCTGTAGTAATCCAGTCCTTTTCAAGCCTCTTTCTTTCAGACAGTCAGAAGCCTTGATACTTGATATTAAAGACAGACTTTGAACCAGTCTTGTTTGCTGTCCTGAGCCAAGGCCTTTAATAAAATCCGGGCTTCTTCTAAAACACCAGTTGTTGGCAAATCGACTACAGACTGTTACTTCTCACCTCTCCAAGGTGGTGTGCCAATGTAATTGTAAGAGCTGCTAACTCCTCATAGGCAACAGAGTCTGAACAGAGATACTGGACTAGACCTGTCCTGCAGATGTATTCACCCCCCTTGTTTTTTTTCCTATTTTCCTTTGTTGCCCAGCCTAGAAGCTCACCCTCCTACCACTTTCTTTTAATACAAACATGTTTTCCTGCACTGCAGTTCTGATCTACGAACTTGCCTATTGCTTAGTTCAAACATCAAGGATTAGAATGCAGAATGTATAATGGAAAATGACCCTGAACAGATTCTTATTTGGACACTCACGGCTAAAGAGCAAAATTAGTAGTACAGAGGCTAGAAACTACAGTGGTTAGTGTTGTTCAGGATTACCTAAGTGAGGTGTGGTCACTGCTGTCATAAGGAGCCCTTTTGGTTTTCATTTTATGGAACACAACTTTTATATCACATCCAAATTCCCCAGAGAGAAGGGAATCGCTGATGTTGGTAGTAACATTACACACAACTGCTTATACAGTCTCTCCTGTTCAAAGGGGAGTTACTGTTTATATAACTATTCTAAAAAAATACAACTTCACTTGTGGAAACCTCTAAGCCACATGAATGCTGAAAGTATACTATAGTGATTTCTCAACGCTGGGTATCACAATTGGTGCTTTGGTTGCATAATGGTCTTTAAGAATATTGGGTAAGTTAATTACAGCCAGAGCAGAAAACCCACTACTTGTCTAGAAGATAGGTTCTCTAGATGCCTCTGTAGCACTTCCTTCCTTTGACATTTACCTGAAACAGTCTACTTGGAATTTTAGGGGTAGAACTGGAGGAGAGAACTGTTCTTCAAAGCATGTTGTATTAGAATTTGATCAGTGGCATTACTTCTTTTTTCTACCTTGTAAAATTATATAAATGCAGACAGGATTCATATATACTTGAATTTTGAATAGTCTGGAGAATGTTGAAATGGGTGGGAGCAAAAGCAGCAACTTGGCAGGGAAATAGCCCTTGGGCAAAAGAGATGTTAAACTGAGTCCCAGCAAAAATTGATTTTGATTTGGCTGAGTTTGAAGACTTTGTGAACTATAGTTGGAGCACGTATAGTTGTTTTTGGGTTTCATTTGGTTTTCTTTGTAATGCAACGATAGATGCTTTTCATAGGTATTTCAGTATTTGAAGGGAAAGCCATGTTTTTCAGGTCAAGAAGTAGAGGGATGAATTGAGAACTGCCAAAATACGAGCTAAGTTAGATCTCATAAAGGAAATAAGAATGAATTGTAAAACAATTAAGTAACAGGAGAACAAAGAAAAAATGTATTCGCTAAGCAGAGAGGTAGTTTAGATAATTTAAGTAGGGTGTCAATAGTAAATGAATGTTTGAAGTGTCCTAGATTATGATAAATACAGGAGCAAGGGCAAGATGGCCAGAGGGATAAAAGCTAAAAATGAGATGGAGGTGAAAATCAAAGATGTCCCTGGGCTCATATTGGTCAGACCAGATACTCTTCATCTCAGAAATCAAAATCAGCTGACTTGTGAAACACAGAATTCCATACCAGATATCTCTAACAATTGGAAAAGTACAAGTTACACTGGAGAAGGTTAAGGACTAATACTGCAGGAATTACATTGTGGGTAAGGAAGCGGCTACTGAGGAGATTGGCCGTTACTGAAGAAAAACTAATGGGAAGGATGTAACTGGGATGTGGAACTCAAGTAGAATTTTCATTAAGTTGGCACAACAATGTAGGTGTGTGCTACTAAAACCTGTAGATGATACGGAGCTGGAAGACTACAGGACCAAAATATCCTAAACAAAGAATGAAATTGATGAATGGAGTAGAAAAGAAACAAACCAAAACCCCCAACAACTTAAATGCAATATCCACAGTAATTTATTTATGGACTAATTACATGCATCTGTCAGAAATGCAGAGCTCACTAACTGCAATCTAATGGGGAAGATTTGTGCAATGAAAAACCCAGAATCTTATCACACATTCAGTGAAGTATTTCCCATAAGTGTTAGGCACGATGCCGTGTATCGCTTACATCATCCCTGCTCAAGAAAGATGAATGTAAGCTGATTAGGTGCAGAAAAGTGCTATTAAACTGACCAGGCAGATGGTTTTTAGAAGAACATGTCTTGCTCAGTTTAGCAAAATGAAGGCCTGAACGCACTACAGTTGCTTTTTATAAATATATTGTACCAGTAAAGATCTAGGCAGGAAAAAAGCTAGACTAAAGGACAATGACAACC